GTGGGGTAGGATCCGGGGAATGGGGTGGGGGCACGAGGTGGGGGATGGGGTGGGGCACAAGGCAGGGGATGGGGTGGGGGGGCATGGTGGCGGGGGATGGGGTGGGGGCATGAGGCGGGGGCTTGGAGGTGGGGTGCGGGTGGCACTTTCAACTTGTTCCCATATAATTATACCATAGGTTTACACTACACTCGGGATTAAAAGGATTAACTCAGTTTACTATATCACTGCCTATTTATATCCTTTTTGTCTATTCATTGTATGTGGTAACTCATACCTTGGTGTATCACTTGTTACATGTCAACACCAGGACAAGTAGACTGACCCACTACTGCCACACTTCGCAATTGTTTTTTATTTTATTTCCTTTTATTTTCTCACTGGTATTTTGTCACTGTGTTGTACACTGGTTATCTCAAGGATATACAATGTATTCATTCAAGATACACTTTTCTTTTCACTGCACTACACTGGGATGGTTATATTGTTCACACGCCACTTTACCCCCTCCCTCCAACCTTTTCGGGGATGACCCCTACCCTACCTTCCTTCCCTAACAAATTTATACGCTCTCCAATTCATTCTACTTTGTTCCATTCTCTCTAAATGCCCAAACCACCTCAACAGCCCCTCTTCAGCCCTCTTACATTACAATTTAGACACGACATCTCCACTGCTCCAACCGCCTCCTCGCTGCAGCATTTACAACCCATGATTCACACCCATATAAGAGTATTGGTGCCACTATACTCTCATACATTCCCTTCTTTGCCTCCATGGATAATGTTCTTTGTCTCCACAGATACCTCAATGCACCACTCACCATTTTTTCTTCGTCAATTCTATGGTTTACCTCTTCCATCATAAACCCATCTGCTGACAAGTCAACTCCCAAATATCTGAAAACATTCACTTCTTCCATTCTCCCTCCCTCCAATGTGATATCCAATTTTTCTTTATCTAAATCATTTGATACCCTCATCATCTTACTCTTATCTATGTTCACTTTCAACTTTCTTTCTTTACACACCCTCCCAAACTCATCCACTAACCTTTGCAACTTTTCTTTAGAATCCCCCAAAAGCACAGTATCATCAGCAAAAAGCAACTGTTTCAATTCCCATTTTGTATCTGATTTCCTATAATTTAATCCCACCCCTTTCCCCAACACCTTAGCATTTACTTCTTTTACAACTCCACCTATAAATATGTTAAACAACCATGGTGACATTACACATTTGAAGGTGAAAAAAGGCCATTTCACTTTACAGCAATTTTTGTTTTACAGCAGTAGCCCAGAACCTAACCTGCTGTATAAGAAGGACCCTCCTGTACATGAAAAATACATTTCATCCCAGTATTTTATTAACTAAACATATACATATTATAATGAAATTCTGGTACAGCATTTTCAGTAAAAATTATTTAAATACAGTTGTCCCTACTAAGTTGGGTGCTTCCTTACTCATGGACTTCAATTATTGAACATGTTCCTGTTGTAATGCGTTTCCCATGCCCAAATCTCAAATCCAGTAATTTCTTATGAATGCTAATATAAACCAATTCCAAATGATATATTACAGATATCATCTCTAACTCACAAAAGCATAATAACACAAATGCAAAAAATCACAGAAAAGACAGGATTTGAACCAAATTTTAGGACTGGTTTGCAATGGGTTCAAATCTGTGAAGAATATGATCTTTGAAACACAATAAACCTAAATCTGAAAAAAATTACTCTGCAGACTTAATTTTGTATTTAGTCATGGCTTCAAGTTTCAAAGAACTTACAGGAATGTAAGCCCCGTGAATTTGTAGGGAACGACTATGCAATATTAATTAAAAACACATTAGAAGCAAGCAAAAACTAACATGTTTAACAATGCTTTTTGATGTTAATATATGTTGTAGCCTACATGAAACAAACTCTCCAATATATATAGGATTAGCACCTTAAATATACAGTGGTCCACCGAGATATGATATTAATCTGTTCAAGACGTATCATACCTCCAAATTACTGTAACTCAAACCTCAAAATACATAATTATCTGGTAATTCATTCATGATTCTGAAAGCACAATTTTACTGTACCTTGGACATGCATGTTCACAGACATAACTTGCAGGTAATGTATCTTCCATCATCTGCTTCTCTCTTATCTACAATAACAAGTCTTTCCATCTCTATGATAATTTCTCTACTTTTTTTTCACTAGCCTCAATTTGATAATAGCAGATGGTCGACTGTGAAAAGTCATACTAATGCACTAATTTCTTGCTTGATCTTCAGAGAAAGGCCTGTTTACTGCACATTTTAGGGGGCAAGACGACTTAGTAATACAAAAAGATGGTGTAATAACACAAATGCAGTTATGAAGGGTAAGTACTCAAAAGATAATGGAAAACAGTCATGACAGCTTCAAACTTAAGGGTAAACAATACAATTAATACACACATAACTAACATCATTGGCATACCACTTTATATATAAAGTCCCTGGTTATGCAGAATATTTCTCACAACTTAGATGAATCTTGTTCCTCAAGATGCAGCCCACAACAGTCATAATATCATACCCATATCATATCTCCAATTTGTAATCCCAACTCAAAACAAAATTCTTCTGCGAGGGTAAATTGTAACTCCAAATTAATGTTACTCCAGCCTATTACAACTCAAGGGACCATGGTATTAATAATACCGTAAATACAATACCCTATACCTTACATGCAGGTGCTAATTTTGATGAGAGTAAAATAGCCAATTAAATCTTAAATGCACAAAACTAGCTGGCTTACAGAGCCTTGGTGTTGGGAAGATAATGGAGCAGTATCTGGCAATGGTATTATGCTGATACAACACACGTGTGCATATAAGCCAAATTCGGTTTTCTGACTATCTGAAAACTTCTTTGGTAATGTAATAAATAAAATCCACTGAACAATCTTGAATGAAAATACGTATAATTAAATGTTTCATCAAATTCATAAAATCAAATATGAACTCTGCAATTTGAACCCTGGAATATGCCATAATTCATCAAGGGTCATGAGGAAGCACCTGGAATATTCCACCAGTTTCCTACTTAATAACTACCTATCCTAGCTTGAATATGGTCTAACACACTGTATTGTTCCCAGTTTATCCTCCTCCACCTTTGCTTGCCCACTATTATTCTGGTATAGTTTTAACCCTTTGACTGTCACAACCCCAAATTCTGAGGTGTCTCCTGGTGTCGCAAAATATTTGAAAAAACTTATGGAATTAAGCGACCTCAGCAATATTTATGAATCGGCAATTTTGCCCATTTTGAGACCTATTCTTGGCTAATTCCATTGTTCCAGTCGACCAAACTCATAGCTATTTTTTTACAACTCCATTTGTTCTATCGATTGAGTACAAGAAACTGCCCATTTACCAATTTCAACTACCCAATAAAGTGGTCAGAAATTGGCAATTTGGCCAATTTCATGCCAATTAAAAAATATGCCAATTTCAAAATAGGGTCCAGAATGAACAATGTAGACATTCCTGACTCTAAAATAACATTTCCTTTGTTCATCTGTCACATTCCGGGCCCCCTCTGATTTTACTCTTGTTTCTATTTTGAATTTTTATTAAACAAAAAATAGAAGATTTATGTTATGCGACCTGCAATATTGTAAAAATTGTTAAATAATGTAAACCCATTCACTGCATATCGAATGGTAGTTGGACATTTATTGGACAATGACGTCATTTGTTTCTCTTGAACATCGGCAAAAAATCAAACTTTTTCCCCCAAACTTTGGTCCATTTAAAGGGTCTTTTTCATAGCAAAACCAATCAAAAAATCACTCCCTTTCTATAAATGTTTTTCCCTTCTATCAAATGTGACTACAAAAAAAGAGAATTAAAAAATATAAATATACAAAAATACACCTCAAATTGGGTTTTTTTCCTGCTTTGCAGGTTTTTTTTTTTACTCTGCACACTGACCACACGACCCATTCTCTCACATGTGGGCCTACCTTTCTCCCGCTTGATTTGAAGCTGTCGAATTTTTGAGTTTTGTAAGTCAAAAACATTGGCTGTAACATGTATTCGACCGAAACAGTCAAAGGGGTTTTTATTTGTATTGAGAATTTTTATGTAACTTTAAGAGTAGAGAAAAGCTTTTGTTCAAATTTTTGGGGAATTATCATTAATTTTTTTAAATTTCCGTATTTAGTATTTTTACCTCCCTTTGTAAACATTTATTTTTTTAACTTTCATTAAAACATTTGTTTTACTTATGATGAAACAGTTTTTCGCATTTCTTCCATTCAAAATTAAAAGGGTTTTTAAAATTAGCCCGTGACATCAGGGTTTCTCATAATTTATTTATATCTTTTGGTCATGTCTAGTGTCTTTAACATTACATTAAACCCACAAAATAAAACAAACAGGACCCTGCCCTGGAGGAATCCCAGGACAAGGAGTCCCATAGCACTTGGAATGACAAGGCCAGACACAAGGAGGCCTTCAGATGAGGGATTGTCCAACAATAAATACATGTAAGAATTTTCACAAAATAGCTGGGTAGCCCAATCAAATAAAAGGCAGACCAAGCAATCAAAACGAATATTATTAGTCCTGTGTGCCTGACATAGTAAATACCCATCCACCAAGAAAAAATGAAAAGAAATTGGAACAAATCTGGAAGGTATGCAGAGGAATTCATAAGAAGACCAGCACAGTTGATGTGTTAGAGAGAAAGGGTAACTGGATTCCAATGTACTGGGAGCCCCAGGTAACATTAGTAATAACAAGTGAACACTTGGCACTCAGAGAACAAAGAATGTGTATAGACCTTGCTGAATATAAGAGGGACTGCAGGTATAAATAACGTGAGATATATTCCAGGTGGGCCCCCAAAGCCTCACAGTAGAAATCAGATGAAGATTTCTCTTCAGCATTTCATCTCAATTTCCCAAATATCAAGCATAAAAATAAGGCTATTAAAAAATCTAAAAATGGCACTATCTGATTACCATATATTACTGGCCATAAGTAGAGCTTTTTAATAAAAAAATAAACCCAGAATAAAGCTTTATCTCATGAGTGCAAATTACCCAGTAAGAACATAAGAATATAGGAACACTGCAGCCTGAAAATATCCCCTCCCCCTCCCTCCCCATCTTGTGCCTGGAGCTATGAAAAAATCTGATTGGGAGAAAGAATAATCCCCAACTAATGGCTGAGGTTGACTTATGATCTATGATATATGGTAGTATATGTGACTAACTTTTCTGGACATAAATGCTGTATAGAAATCTATGACTACTTTCCATACTTTCCAGGATGACTAGACTACTTCAGGTTGAGTTCCTAAAAATGTTTAGTAGAGTAGACAGCATCCAAGTAACACCAAGCCATCTCTCCCACCAGAGTGCGGTCTGGGATGCTCTGAGCCATCCCATACAATGCTGCCTGAAAGTAAAAATAATTTGTAAACTACAAGAATGTATTTTACATTTTTTACAGATATAGTATACAGTATATAAAACCATTTAATCTGTCATCCTCAAGAAAACAGGAAAACCAGTCAATATTTCTACCAGTACCAGACTACCCAATAGGTACAGTAGACATGTGCCTTAGGACCCACAAGTAAAAGGGCAACCCTTCTGTCACAGGCTGGTATATGGGCAGTATCATTGAAAGCAAAAATAAAAATTATTTTATTCATGGGGTGCATCAAACCCATAGGAATTATACAGTGCCTGGAGAAATAGGAGGCACTCAGGTTTGATCCAAGGAAGGGGAAGCACGTTCAATTCCTTGGATTAACCTTTAAACTTTCCAAACGTAGATCTACGTTCACCTGCGTGGCGCTCTGAATATTTTAAAAAATAAAAAAATCGTTTTTGTCTTAAATTAAAGAGGGCAATTTTCTGAGTGGTATAAGACCCCCCAAAAAATTTTAGGGCCAGTACTTACCAAGATATAAGACCGCAAAGTTGGCTCTGGATGCTCACCTGATGGCAACATCCAGTCCTGCTGCTTGCAGAAGTGTTTCCGATTTACCTTTTTTTCTCATTTTTAATTTATATAATTTTTATGTTCTGATAATTACAATTTATAATTGTTCTTGTGATTTCATAGCCAATCTTTGTTCTGACACTAGTATTATGTACTGAAATAGTACTAAAAAAAGCGTTTGACACAGTAGACCATGGCATCCTACTCCACAAATTTGACCACTATGGTATAAGAGGCCATGCGCTTGCATATTTTAAATCCTACCTTTCTAATAGGTATTGGTATGTCACCATTAAAGACACAGCCTCATCAACACGGCCACTTGATACTGGAGTTCCGCAGGGAAGTGTCCTTGGACCCCTGCTCTTCCTCATTTACATCAATGATCTTCCAAACATATCCCAACACCTGAAACCCATTCTCTTTGCTGACGACACGACTTATGTCATCTCCCACCCTAATCTTGCCACCCTCAACACCATTGTTAATGAGGAGCTGCTCAAAATATCGACTTGGATGACAGCCAATAAATTTTACACTTAACACTGTCAAAACCTATATATTATTTTTTGTAGCAGAGCAGGTGTTGCGCAATTTTAACATTAAGACATAAAGAGGGCAAATTCCTTGGCCTATACCTCAACAACAACCTAAATTTCAGCACTCATTTCCAAGTTAAGACACATGTGCAACATCTGGATATCTTTATTGTAGACGTTTCGCCATCCAGTGGCTTTATCAATAAGATTCTAGGACATAATAGGAAGACAGTAGAACTATATACAAAAAGATGAGGTAATCAGTCCCTCGGCCCTTTGGGGTTAGTGTTCACAAACATCGTGGTGGAGGAGAATCTGGAGCAAAGGCAAAAAAGACGGCGGTTATATAGGGGTCAGTGGATAGGGACGGGCAGTAGACGAGGCATAGTCACTGTAGGCGGGATTCCCCCGTGGAAGTAGGTCCTTCCCAAAGAGATGGGTTAGTTGCAGCAGCCGTGAAGAAGGTCTTGTAGATGTCCTTTGAACCAAGATTCCATGATGTTGCAGTGTCTGACAAGTTGTGCAAGAAAGGTATAAAATACCAACAATATGAAAGTTAAGACACGTGCAACATCTGGATATCTTTATTGTAGACGTTCTACTGTCTTCCTATTATGTCCTAGAATCTGTATTGATAAAGCCACTGGATGGCAAAACGTCTACAATAAAGATATCCAGATGTTGCACATGTGTCTTAACTTTCATATTGTCGGTATTTTATACCTTTCTTGCACAACTCATATCCAACACATAACAAAAAAAAGTATCCGAAACGGTGGGGATCCTCTCCAAGATTCGATACTACGTGCCACAAACTGCCCTTCTCACACTATACCATTCACTTATATATCCATACCTCACCTATGCTATCTGTGCTTGGGGTTCAACTGCAGCAACACACCTAAAGCCAATAATAACCCAACAAAAAGCTGCAGTAAGAATAATCACTAAATCCCATCCCTGGCAACACACACCCCCCACTCTTCATAGGTCTAAACTTACTCCCTGTTCAGAACATCCACACTTACTACTGTGCAATCTATATCTACAGGACCTTAAATTCCAATATTAACCTTGACCTAAAATGCTTTCTTGATAGTTGTGACAGGATCCACAGGCATAACACCAGACACAAACATCTCTATGACATTCCCCGTTTTCGACTAAACCTTTACAAAAATTCAATGTATTTCAAAGGACCTAAAATCTGGAACACCCTACCTGAAAACTCTAGAACTGCAGACACATTCATCACTTTCAAAACTACAGTTAGAAAACATCTTATCTCCCTAATCCACCCCGACAACTAACTACATGATAACCACCTGGTGGTTCACAATTACACTCACTCACCCACTGACTATAAACCCAGGAACACTAATCTTAAAATAATAAATCCTAACTAGTCATAAGTTTGCCTATGATACTCCAATATAGACACCTTGTACTGTGCCAAAACAAAAGCATTCACATTGCTAAACTCACAAATTATGATGTAGTCACTTAGCCTTAATACCATAATCTGTAAGGATTTAATGTTAAGAATTAATCTGAGTCTGCTCGAAATGCCTAGCCATGCTAGGTGTCCTAGTTGCCCCCTCTGTAATTAGTATTTTATAACATATAAACCACACAATACCCAAAACCTGTAAACCCCACATTGTAACCCTTATAGAGAATAAACTTGAATTAAATTGAACAGGCAAACATTTTCACCTGTCTGGGTCATTTACTATTGTCTAGAAATATATACAAAGTATCTATAGGTCTCTGCAATGTTTTAGACATGCTAGAGTATATATGAAACTCCCTGAAGAATGGTGTTATGACAAGCGAGATAACTGGTGACAGCCAGTGATATTTGATGAATGTGCGCTGCTGCAGGGAACCCTCGCTTTATTTGTTTTTGCTGTTGCACACAAACATGTCTGTCTGTCTATCTATCTATCTGTCTAGCTCTGCTTATCTATCTAGCTCTGTTTATCTTTCTGTCTGCCTGTGTGTGCCTGGAGTATATATATATGAAACTCCTTGAAGAATGGTGTTATGACAAGCGTGAGATAACTGGTGACAGCCAGTGATATTTGATGAATGTGCGCTGATGCAGGGAACCCTCACTTTATTTGTTTTCACTGCTGCACACAAACATGTCTGTCTGTCTGTCTGTTTATCTGTCTGTGTCTGTCTATCTGTCTCTGTTTCTCTGTCTTTCTGTCTGCCTGTGTGTGCTTGGAGTATATATATGAAAGTCCTTGAAGAATGGTGTTATGATAAGCATGAGATAACCAGTGACAGCCAGTGACATTTGATGAATGTGAGCTGCTGCAGGAAACCCTCTCTTTTTTCGCTGTTGCACACAAACATGTCTGTCTGTCTGTCTGTTTATCTGTCTGCTTGTGTGTGTCTGTCTTTCCATCTGTTTGCATCTGTCTCAGGGGGCGGCTATTTGCTCTAGCTGGCGCTCAATTGAACTGGTGCTCCCACAAGGTACTAAAAGGTCTCCGATTTTTTTCATACTGCACACTGAGTGCGCAGACCCATTCTTTCATGTCTAGGCAACTCAGGCCTATCGCACCAAATTTGAAGGAATGAAAAATAAAATGTTGATCTACATTCGGAGCACTGTGCACATGCACGTAGATCTACGTGTGGACAGTTTAAGGGTTAAAAGCCCCTCACTAATCGAGTACAGTCACCTCCCTAGAAGGAACCTAAGAAACAAAATTTGTGCAAGTAAAAATACAAGCATTTCTTAAAAATGTAAGGAACCAATTTATTTTTTTTTTTACCTCAACATATATGTTCTACCAAGGCAGGGTGACCCAAAGAAGAAAACACATTCACCATCATTCATTCAGTTACCAACTTTCCAGAAGTGTGCCAGCATTACAACCAGATTACCCTCAACCTGCAACACCCGTACCCATCCTTCAGAGTGTAGGAACTGCCCTCCCCACCTCCAGGACTATTGTCTGGCTAACTGGTTTCCCTGAATTCCTTCATAAAAGTTACCCTAATCACACTCCAACAGCAAGTCCATTAATAATCACTTGCCTTCATTCACTCCTATCAAACTATGCTTACATAAGAGGTACGATAATGCTCTTGGAGCAGGGAGAGAGTGGATCTAGTAATGACCAGTAAAGAGGCAGGGCCAGGACCTATGAATCTACCCCTGTAACCACAAACAGGCGAGTACAAGCCTGCTGGATGCTTAAGCTCCTAAAACTCAAAGCCCCCTCCCTCCAACAAATCCTTCATGACTCTTACCTTCCACCCCAGATTTATACACCATCTTTAGCAACCTATCCCTCTCCACCCTCTCTACATGCCTAAATCACCTCAACAACCCCTCCTCAACCCTCTCAATTATACTCTTGGTGACCCCATATCATTTTAATTTCTATGCTCAGAATTCTCTGCACAATATCCACACTATACACTACTATCAAACATTACATCTCCACAGCCTCTAGTCTCCTCCTCACTGCAGCTTTCAAACCCCATGCTTCACAATTTTATAAAAGTGTTGGTACCACTGTACTCTCATACATTCCCTTTCTTGTTTCTGTAAATGGTAAAATTCATTTGGTTCATATATTTATCAAATTATTTATTATTTATTATCAAATTATTTATCAAAGATTACTAAAAAGAATAAGAAGAAGAAAATTGTCAAAGTGGGAAGTCTGAATGTGCGTGGATGTTGTGCAAATGATAAGAAAGAGATGATTGTGGATGTTATGAATGAGAAGAAGCTGGATGTCCTGGCTTTAAGTGAAACAAAGCTGAAGGGGGTGGGAGAGTTTCAGTGGAGAGGAATAAATGGGATTAGGTCAGGGGTTTCAAATAGAGTTAGAGCTAAAGAAGGAGTAGCAATAATGTTGAAGGATAAGCTATGGCAGGAAA